CAGATCGTTAACAGACCCGGTAAACGTAAGGTAGAGATAGCGGTAGGTGAAGACGTTATGGTAAATGATTACAGGGTAAGAGCCGATAAACGAACGGCCGGTAAAATTGTGAAACAAACTTCGCCATCTACATGTGCTGTACGAACCGACCAAAATGTAATCCAAAAGCGCCATGTTGACCAAATAATAAAGGGTAGAGCGGATGAACCAATTTTGCGCCGCTCCCCGCGCCGCAACAGAATTCGAATTAAAAAGGCGGGAGAGTTGTAATGTATTGAAATACGTGACATCACGGAGCCACGTGATGTACTGTGCGTTGCAGCTAAGTTGCCGTCCAATCAAATTCGTTGACCTACCTCCAGTCACACGTATTATGTTTATTGGCCGAGGCTCTTACATCCACAAATCTATCGCGTGACGAACGTCGCTAAGGACAGACATTGAAACAGAATGAGATGAAGCGATTGAGAGCGACGATTCAAACGCATTGACGTAGACGTAGATTCGGGGTTTACATTATTAAGAAAACAGGAGAGTTTTTACACTTTCCATAATGTAATTTCCATAAATTTTGCATAATAACAACTGTTATCAAGAACGAGTATTATAAAAAATCTATTAATATCTCGAAAAAATTGCACGTTTATATATTTAAATACATCTTCCGCGAATATGAAAATTTTACGCCTATGCAATCTGGCCGCTCACTTCTCAAGTTACGGGCTCCTGGAGGGGATTAGGTGGAGCGAACGCACAGTCCCCTTGCCCCGCTGACGGTTCAGTTTGCTGGTGCTCGGCAACTTAAGCTGCAACGCACAGTACACCAGTGATGCCAGAACCGTGGGACGTGGGACAAATCTTTACCCTCTCCACGACGTCCCACGACGTCCCAGTGACTCCCCTACCGCAGTTGTTTCATCTAACACAAGCGCGTTGTCCCACGTGTCCGTGTGAGCTCTGCGGGTTTGGCAGAGTTCGGCTGCTCTCGTCATTTCTACGATATCGGCTCCATGCTCAAGCCGCTAAAGCACGTGGCAGTAGCATCGACGAATCGACAAAATAATATAATTTCGTCCATGGCAATATGGTTGAATTAAGAAACCAGGAGAATCAGTTCGAATCCCGATTTTACGGTTTCAGTTCTGATTCTTAATGCATTAACGTTTTTTAAATACATAAAAATACATTTTTAATACATTAATACTATGAAATACATTAACTTGGGAAGCAGTTAAAAAAAGGAGTTGAACTGCATCTTTCTTTGATATTTTTTTAATTAATATTTAAGTAATTTCTTCAATTAGATATTACAGTTATTCTAACTATTACAATACGAAAGAAAAATCAGTCATTCAAAAGAAAAATCAGTCATTAGTCATTATAAAGCAACGAAGCAGCATAAGTACACAAAAAAACATGTATTTTTATGTATTAAAAAAACGTTAATGCATTAAGAATCAGAACTGAAACCGTAAAATAGGGATTCGAACTGATTCTCCTGGTTTCTTAATTCAGCCATATTGCCATGGACGAAATTATATTATTTTGTCGATTCGTCGATGCTGCTGCCACGTGCTTTAGCGGTTTGAACATCGAGCCGATAACGTAGAAATGACGAAAGCAGCCGAACTCTGTCAAACCCGCAGAGCTCACACGGACACGTGGGACAACGCGCTTGTGTTAGATGAAACAACTGCGGTAGGGGAATCACTGGGACGTCGTGGGACGTCGTGGAGAGGGTAAAAATTTGTCCCACGTCCCACGGTTCTGGCATCACTGCAGTACACGAGCACGGGCTATGTAGCGCGGAGCGGGGACGCCGAACGTGAGCAGTGCCGCATCAGCTAGAAACTGATCTAGACCTACGACCCATGTATACGAGTTAAAATTAAGTATCCGCGACCTTATTACCCGGACATTACAGATAAAACTATTTAACATATTAAAAGACTTACTCATACGGAAAAATATAAAAATCTTCAGCATTTCAAGACACATTAAAATATTAAATATAAACTGGCATGAAATACAGGAAATATTAAAAAACACCTTCAATAAAACAAACATTAAAATAATAATATGCTAAAACAGTATCTAAATCGTAAAACCCGAAAATAGAGATAAAATATTCGACCAATTCCACTCCACAAAACTAGGAGGTCATTCAGGCGTAAATGAAACATATAATAGAATAAAAGACAAATTCTTTTGGGAAAACCTAAAACAAGATATTCAAAATAAAATAAAAAAGTGCGAGGAATGCCAAAGAAATCGTATATACGCGTAATCCGTATACCCACGGTATCCTTTAATGACTATTTGCTCTTTAACAGTAAAATTTCTCCGACGTGGACATGAGTCATATAGCATTCATTGTATAGCAATATTATACACACTCATAGTAAGCAAAAATCTATTAAAGTGGTACAAATGTCCATTACGCGTAGTTACGGCACTGATGCGGCGAGGTAGGCATACAATGGCCGCCTGGCGGCAAGGCGTCGTAGTCACGTTGTCGATGGATATTTTCTTTATTTGTTCCAACACCAAACCATACCGATACTTTCTGTGAATGGTTTCTTCATCAGAAATGTTTATAGAATGCAATCCTGTATAGTAAATTCCTGCTAGATAAAAGATTTTTCATAAAAATACAAAAATAGCGCTTCTCGGCTACTACGCACTATCCATTAACGGAGACAACGAGCCGCGAGCTGTATTTTTTGTGTGTTTCATTAAACTTATTATTAAAGCCTTTTTATTGCATCACTAGTTTGGTTGTCGTTTTGGAACTCCCTTCGATACTCCTACTCCACAACTAGTGACGTTAAAGAACAACAAGAATATTAGAAAGCTTCCAAAGAAAAGACATCTAACTAGAAACGAAGATATCGAATTGAATGAAATGAAAATAGAACATCCGAACAGCTTGGAATGGAGAGCATTACCACCCGTTCCATTACGACCACCTGCAATTAAACCACCTGTACCGCAACCAATAACGCAGAAACAGATACAAGTCTTTACGCTGGAAGAATTGAACTAAAAATATGGAATTCAGGGAATACGCATAAATAAACACACGCAAATTCAAAATAAAATAAAAATTTATTCAAAAAAATAAAAGGAGAAGTATTTACAAAATAACAATGTACAATAAAATCCTTACGATAAATATTTATTCAGAAAAAGGAAGGGGAGGATACAGCAAACAACAAGTTATGATAAAAGAAATTTATTCAAAAAACAAAACAAAAAAATATATAGATAATATGATAATATCAAAAAATTAGTGCGTACAATCTTCTTGGAATAAGGGCGCAATGTTTAAAATCCTATCCTCATCCCAATCCATCAAATCACTCATATAATCACGGTATTCCTTCCGTAATCGTTGGACGGCCAGGCGATACCTGATATTAATGTGGCCGCGGTATGATCTGTACACCCCATTCACGCGCTACAACAAAACAACCACAATATATATATATAAAAAAAAAAGTAAAAAACAACTTTTTAACACCACTTACCCAGGAGCGAACCACATCTTTCAAGGGCGGAAACAAATCCATTTAACAGTTATAAAGCCGGCTTCAAACACGAGACGCGAAAGTAAATTGCAAGTGACGATTCTACTCGCCAAACAAGAAGATATACCGAACACCCCACCAAGCGCACAAAGTTCTGAGGAACCACAAGACACCTGACAATACCCAGAACTAGCGCATCCGAGACATCCGCTGTCTCAGCGCATACCTTCCGCGATAGAGGATCAAGCAAATACTAGTTGCATCTTAAAAGAAACCTTGAATTTAAAACTTAATAAAGAAGTCCAGAAGCATCGGTCTACAATACTATTCAGTACACGCACTATAGCTCTGTCACGCATCCCTACCGCCTCAATCTCAGCGGGGAGGAAAGTAAATGGTCAATCGAAAACCATTTACTCTTTGTAATACACCGATTCGCAAGTGCAGAGAAGTACTAACAAAAAAAATTACCCAGCGCAACAAATTCACGTCAACTAACAAAGATTGTAATTACACTCATCCCAAAATTGTAAAATTCACCCAACTCATAAAACCACAAACTATGAATTCCGATAACACAATTGCTTAAGAAAATTTTTTTTTTCCTCTTCAAATTTATTTGTTAATATCGTACCGATATGCAACAATCTAGGCGACCAGGTGTCACGTCCTGTGACGCATTCTTGAAACTTCTATTTCGCCATTCAAATTCTTTAAACTCCTATTTCATTATCCGAATTCACCGTCCCGCAAATTCTGAGTGAGCAGTTCGTTCGGATCGACGGATCGCGAGAACGCTGACCATCCGAACGCGGTGGTTCACCCGAATTGCAAAATCAAACGGCGACCTCGCTCAGCAATATAAAATAACGCGACCGAGCCGGCACGCTCTCAGAAGCAGTTTATCAGTACAGTAAAACCTGGATAAATTCAACGAAAGAATGCTTGGATAAATGAAACATCGCTATCCCCTCCACTTGGGGGGATCCCCCTAGGCGAACCGAGCCGCTCGACGAGGAAACCGTGTAATATGATCCGACCGTAATATCCGTGTGACTAATACTAATTCAACGATAAAACTTTTTTATTTTTAACTTTTTCTCAATGAAACTGTTACTAATGCATTTGTGAGATTTTTCTGATTAAAATGATACCAAACTCGATATAGGTTGAATTATATTTATAAACAATAGTAATAGAATAAACAACATAGAATTGAGACCACGACTGAATATAAATGATGTCGGCTGAATACAAAAGATGTGTACGGACACAGAATCGGCATGTCGGCTGCAAAGAAAACATGTGTACGGACTCAGAATCGACACCTCGCTTGGTAAATGAAACATTAAATGCCCAGAATCGACTCCTTGCTTGAATAAATGAAACATTAAATGCCCGGAATCGACTCCTCGCTTGAATAAATGAAACATTAAATGCCCAGAATCGACTCCTCGCTAGGATTGTTACGAACGCGGATCCGGAGCGGTTCGGACGCACGCGCCGTGGGAAGAGAGTAGGTAATATACTCGTGTTAAATTTTCGTGAATTAATAGGAGGGATATTTGTTTAAGGTGGGTCCGCCGAATCGTCGAAGTAGCCTGGCGGACGAATACACGTCCCTACAGGGTTCCCGATTCGGTAAGGGCGATTGAATGAAATGAAAAGGCTCCAGGATAGGAGGGTATAAATGTTTTATTCTTGTAGATTGAATATAATAGCAAGGATCTCGGCTGGAATCTCGTTGGTTTCTGCTACGTTAACTGATTCTAGTTCTGGTTCTTCGGTTAAATCGATGAGCTGCGGTGAGCGAGGACCCAGGCAAATGGTCGAAGCTTCTGACACGGGTGAATAACACGGTTCGCCCGGATGACTTGACGGACCGGATGGTGGAAATCGCGTCTCTAGCTCCTTTTGGACCAATTGGATCTGGCGTTTGATTAGTGCCCTAGCTCGTTGCTTAACACCACCTCGACGAGTGGGTCTGCGACTGCGTTTACCCTACAAGACCGTCACGTATTGAATATGTAAAAGAATAAATTGGTGATGCCAATTCATTGTTCTAATTACTCACTTGATTTACCTTCATCGCAGGTAGACTTGAGCTGCCGGTGCGACTTTCTCGAGCGCACTCCAAGCGAAGGGAAGAAACGACGCGACAGGTAGTAACTGGTGCGACTTTCTTGAGCGCACTCAGCTAGAAAGGAAATCCGGCGCGACTTTCTTGAGCGCGACCAGGAAGAGTAGAATAAAGTTGACAGGTGCGGCTGTTACGTCCCTAGGTGTAACCCATTTTCGTCGTTCGCCATTCCAAAGAGGTCTTGCTCTGGAATCCGCAGAACATCAGCATTTCCTCGCTTAGCGACGCCCGCGATACGAAATCAGGGAACTCGCGGAATGCAATGGCGAAAACCCTTCGCTTGCAGGTTTTCGCAAGCAAAGAGCGTGACCTACTCCCCTTTTGGGAGTATAAGTTATCGGCGCGACGCAAGTAAGGAGAGTTCGGTAATAGCGCAAAGCAGAGACGAAGTTCTGCTCGTTCGCAACACGCGTTTTGGCTAGACTCGAAACCAGGAAGATCATCAACGACGTGCTCGGCCGACGGTTCAACACGAGTGTATCCCCGAGGTCTGACGTTCCAGGCCCATAATAGGACAAGCTCCAGGAGTGCATCCGTGTGCTGTGCAGGACCACCACCAACCGCTTGCATCTTCCAAGGTCGAGTCGTAGCCACGCGCCGCGAGTCTAGTGTTCCGTCGAATCCGCGTACTAAGTGTAAAGCGAGACCTCTAGTGTGAGTGACCGACGCGTGCAAGAGAAGCAATTGCTGACGGCACCCGAAGACAGCGAAGGGTATGTAAGACAAGCCAAATTGAAATACACGTACACATTCGAATAAACCTGAATCGCGTATCTTGATCCCCGGTGTCCCATCCTATACCCCCTTATCTTTGAAAGGTAGGTCAAGGTGCGCCTTAGCGCTCTAAGCGGCAGAACCCGTATCTAGGATTTAGCATATAATAAATCCCCGCAAGACGGGACGTAACAAATTGGTGTCAGAAGTGGGATACTGTCCGCAACTTGACCACGCTTTCTGCTCAACCAAGTATCACATAACTCGTCAATATGCCCTTAGTTCACGATACTCTCCCTTCTCGAGCTCCCCCATCCGTTCCGAGTACTCCACCGACTCACCGCGATTCAAGAGGCTCCACTACCCTGGGATCCTCTGCGTACGAGTCCTGGCGTATTAATCGAGAGGAGGAAGATCGAGTCTATCGCGTCTTAGAATCTGTTCCGCGTTTTGACCCACCGCATATTTCCTTTGAAGAATTCGTACATGCTGTGGAAACCGCGAAGCGACGAATCCCCGCGGGTTATGAAGATAAATTCCTCGAGGGATTAATAAGCAAATTATTCCGGCCTATCCAATATTACGTAGAAGAAAGTAGATGCGCAAATGTAACCGAACTTTTAAAATTACTTCGTAAACGTTATGCTCCCAATCGAACTCATCAAGAGATCCGTTACGACCCCGAAAAAACTGCACCTCCTTGGAGGCTCGATATTTGTTGATTTGGGCCTATTTCCATTCTTTTTAATTCTTTAATTTGTATTACTAGTTCCTATAATCTATTCCCGTAGCTGAGTACAGTAAAACCTGGATAAATTCAACGAAAGAATGCTTGGATAAATGAAACATCGCTATCCCCTCCACTTGGGGGGATCCCCCTAGGCGAACCGAGCCGCTCGACGAGGAAACCGTGTAATATGATCCGACCGTAATATCCGTGTGACTAATACTAATTCAACGATAAAACTTTTTTATTTTTAACTTTTTCTCAATGAAACTGTTACTAATGCATTTGTGAGATTTTTCTGATTAAAATGATACCAAACTCGATATAGGTTGAATTATATTTATAAACAATAGTAATAGAATAAACAACATAGAATTGAGACCACGACTGAATATAAATGATGTCGGCTGAATACAAAAGATGTGTACGGACACAGAATCGGCATGTCGGCTGCAAAGAAAACATGTGTACGGACTCAGAATCGACACCTCGCTTGGTTAAATGAAACATTAAATGCCCAGAATCGACTCCTTGCTTGAATAAATGAAACATTAAATGCCCGGAATCGACTCCTCGCTTGAATAAATGAAACATTAAATGCCCAGAATCGACTCCTCGCTAGGATAAATGAAACCTTTGAAACCAAAGCCGACACCGCGACTGGTTTGGATTTCAATCTCTCTTGCGTTTCGCCAACTTATAACATCAATTTTAGCAAGTAATTATAATTGAAACTATATTGTGTTTGGTACCACTTTACTCACAAAAATCTCACCAATGCGCTAGTAAAAGTTTCACTCAAAAAAAGTCAAAAATAAAAAAGTTTTTTGATTCAATTAGTATTAGTCACACCGATACGTTTCGGCTCTTTCCTTTCATTTCGGACCTCTCTCTTTCCACCACTGTCTGTCCCTTTCTACGTTCACGTTTGGCTGGTCGTCGCGTGTCATCCGAGCTTCGATACCGTGCTTAGGTAAACGCAATCACTGGGTCCCAATCTTGGTTGAATTTATCCAGGTTTTACTGTACTGTTTCGTCTGGTTTTTGTGTCAATTCTGTTAATTTTCCATATGAACTGTGTATATTTTCGGTGAATGGGAATAATGACTTTATTGCTTGAATAAAATCATTTACGTTATTTATAGGTGAATTTATTAGTGCTTTGTATACCTCTCCTTTTAATTTAATTTTTAGAATCGGGATTAGATTTGGTTCGTCTATGGGTGTTATAATGTTTTTAGCAAGTTTTATTTTTTCAACGTATTCTGTGACTGAAATATTTTTCCCATCGAATTCTGGTACTAAATTTGCTACATATTTTAAAGGTAATCGGAGAGGTTGGATTTGATTTTGCTGGTCTGTCATTTTCTTTCTTGGACTTCCGCAGATGAGTGTTAAATTTCCTTCGCTATTCTCTCCGTCCGGATTTCCTATTAAGCTTGGTTGTTCTGTAATTCCCTCAATTTCAAGTAGGGATATGTCGTTTTTGTAACTGTTGTTTATTGTTTCGTTTAATGTTTCAGTATTATTTCTGTTATCTTGGGGACTTATTCGGATTAATGGGGATGCGAAAGTTCCTGTTTGTTTGTTATTATTGGTTGCGTTACTTGGATTAATTGTAAATCCTATATTTTTGTTTTGCCAATTGGCACTTCCGTTATCCGTTTGGTTAGTGTTTATTGTTAAATTTTTAACGTTCTTTGTTCTGGGTATTGCACCTAGATTTGTATTCGCGTTTGACACCTCGGCTGTGACTTCTGGTGTGAAGTCAAATGTTCTTTGTTTTGTTGGTGAACGATGTGTTTTACGGCTTTGTAAAAAGGCAGATGAATAGTTACGATTTTCTACAATACTTTTAAGTTCAGGATTTTCTTGTGTCCTGCTTCTTGTTAGTCTGTTCCCGTCCGTAGTATTTTTGTTATCCGTTGGTTTAGGATTTTTATTATTTATTTGAAATTTTCATTATTTGTAATTATTTAGGAAGTAAATCAGTTCGTTTTATGTATGCTTTGTAGCAGTATTTCAATTAATTGCTTATGTTGTATATAAAATTGGTTCGAAAGTAAATAACTTGGATTTTTAAAGTTGCAGACAAAGATTTATATTCTCGAGCTAGATTTTTTTATGAATCTACCCTATATTACAGGTTAGTAGTGTCTGTTGGCGTTCGATTCGTATCGGAACCACTGTAAAGTCGCAAATGGCGAAATAGAAGTTCCAAGAATGCGTAACAGGAAGTGACAGTACAATTGGTACTATATGCCTAGTACAGTTCATAAATTACTTGTGCACAGTCCAGACATTATTTCAATATTTGATTTGCCAATTGGTCAACTATTAGAAGAAGCATTGGAAGTAACACATAAGAATATTAGAAAAAGCCGTTTTAATCATACCAGGAAGTCATCAAGGATGAACACAAATAAAGATTGTTATTTAATTACGGTATTGTTACTTATGTCAGATCCATATATATCTTTTAATAGAAAGGTAACATCTAAAAAACAAAAAGTTGACACGGAAATATTAGAATATGTTGCAAACCAAGAAGCGATAACAGATGGAACATTAGACCCACATTTGCGTTTTGACATCCCAGATGATGATTTGATGGCACTGACCAATGATGACACTAATATGACCACTACCGAAGAAGAATTAGAATAAAATAAAAAATTTATTTATTTAATAATTAATGATAATTTTGTTTTTTATATAATAGTATGATAATCTATGTTCCTCAATTCTTTGTTGCTTACCTATAAAGCTTCTTCCGAAAGTTGACCAACAGATAAATCAAAGAAAGAAATGTTTGTATGAATATAATGGTAAGATAAATTATAATTTTTTGCTTTATGTCTTTTATATTTAGTATATTATCTAATTTATTATATAATTTTCTTTTATAATATATATCTCTATATATTTGACTTTGTAAAAAGATAAAAGTTGATTTTTGTCCCTACATTACCCTATACTCGACACTCTGTGTAACCCCCCACATTGGGGGACTATGTGGCTCTGGCTGAAAGCAAGGAGCGCTACATACGCAGCAAGAGGAGTTTGAGCTGCAGACGTCCAGGGAGCTGCTGGACAATGGCGTGGCCCCCCGTCAGCCATGCCGAACAGCTAAACGGGTAAGGGACAACGAGGAAATTGCGCGAGAGGTGTGGCACCATTCCTCGCCGGACCTCGTGGCCCACGCCATGAAGAGCATCGGGAAGATGCAGAAAGTCGCGGGATGCTCCAAAAACCTGAAGGGGACGTTTGTCCGGTTTCTCAGGGAGGCATCCCGCAACCTGAAGGCTGGCGTGAGCGAGCTCGGATTGAGGGCTCAGGAAGTAGCTGAAGCTCCGGGACGACAAAATAGTGTCCCAGGGAGACGAGATCGCGACGCTGTGACGGGTGCTGGAGACGCTGCGTGGAAGAGTCGCGGCGGTAGAGGCCCCAGCCACCTCGAGAACCAGGAAGGCGTCGCGGCTGGCATCTCCGCTGGAAGAGGAGCCGCCGCAGGGTGGACACGTCGGAGGAGATGGAGAGGCCCACGCCGATGCCGCCCCCCCCCCCCCCCCCCCTCCCGATGAGATCGGGGCGCCTGAGGT